GGGGGCCTCGCAGGACCTCCGGTGACCTTCTGGGACGAGAAGGGGGGGCTGGAGGAGCAGGAGAACCATTTGTTGGACCATTCTTTGGGTGGGGCGGGGGGTCACGCCCTTCTTGGCAAAGGAGCGCAGGCGATGCGCATAACCAGGTCAGACGAGCCGGGGGGGGGCCTTCCGAGACCCCAACGCTAGAGTCGGGCGTGTCCCTCTGCAGGAGGAATATTCAAACATAGTCAACATTAGTATGTGGACGTGTTTTTTTTTTTTTTTTTTTTTTTTTTTTTTTTTTTTTTTTTTTTTTTTTTTTTTTTTTTTTTTTTTTTTTTTTTTTTTTTTGTTTTTGTTTTTTTTTTGGTTTATATATATATATATATATATATATATATGTTTCCCCCTCTCTTCATTTCTCGTCCAAAATCAGAGGACGCGCCCGACCTGACCCAACGTCCGACCTTTGGGGTTCGAAGGCCCCCTCTGTTTGTCCCCGACCCACTCCTCCGAGCACGGTCCAGGGCGCGGCTCGCGGCCGACCTCGGGCCGCCTCATGCGGCTCCTCGGCCCCGCGCGCGCTGCGGCGTCCTCGCCGGCGGCGGGCGGCCGCGCGCTCGCTACCCGAGACGGCCCGCCGCCAGGCGGCCGCGGCGCCTGGCATCGCTCGGACGTGTGCACGCTTCTCTTGGCGAGAACCATCGAGGACCATCCTGGACCATCGTGCACAAAAAAGCACGCGCGAGACCGACAAACTGCACGGGAAGTGGACGTCCGAGCGGCGGCAAGGGCGGAGGACCGGAAGACCGGCGAGGGCCAGAAGGCTGGAGGACCGGCGGCGGGCCAAGTGGAGTCGTGGGTCGGGTCCCGTGCCAGGGTTGCCACGAGGCAGCACCCGCCCCGCCCTGCCCTTGTGGTGCCAGGCAGGACTGAAGGGGGTCCGCAGGTGGTCGCGAGGCACTCGCCGAGCCTGTGAGTGCGGGAAAAGACCAGAGGACTGGAGGGCCAAGTCTGCTTGCTTCTGGAAGACGAACATCTGGGGCCAGTGCCAAATTCCTTTTTCACGTTCTGGCCAAAAGCGTCTCTATGGAAACATTGGGTGCCGTGACGTCTATGGACGCATTGGGGGTAGATGCGTCCATGGACAACTCGGCCGCTGCGTTTGGCGCAGTGCAGATAGATGGTCGGAGAAAGGGTCGACCCGTCCACGGTATGTTCCTGATCTAGAGCAGGCCCCACATTGTGTTCCAAGACGAAAGGACTGGAGGATGGGAGGACCAGCGGGGCCGTCCCCCATTGGGCCATAGTCGGAAGCTCAGGACCAAGATGGAGTTCATGCCTGCGCAGTTGTTTTCGCGGGACCTGGACACGGGGCAGGTACTTGAGGACAGGAAGGTCCATGTGACAGAGGGGAATGAGCGGAGGAGGGAGTTCAGAAGGGGAACGCGCAATATTGCCACTAGTTTCACTTACCGGGTGACGCAGGACGTCCAGCCACACCAGTGGGTTTGTGGAGCGTGCCGACATCGGGGCTGGTTGATAGTTCAGGGGCCTGCGAGGCATGTGCACATGTACAAGTGTTGCTGAAGTACGGCCAGTTACCAGGGAGGGCACATACATGGTACATGGTCCACCGCAAAGATCGTGAAGTGCGTGTTTGGGACGATGTGTCAGCAAGTGGACTCGATGTAAAACTCGCGTTGGAAGCTTGGGAAGAGGGGATGCAGCAATTGGGGAAGCACGAGGTCTATGATAACGCGGTGGAGAACAATGCTGGTCTGTTACGTGCTAGTCCCCCGTAGGTGCGAGGTGGATTGAGTTCAACAAGGGCGACAAGGCCACTCTTGGGTGCCGATCCTGGTTCGTGGCCCTGCAAGCTAGGTGCACTCCCAAAGGGAAGAACATTAGCAGCCACCCTCCATTGGAAACCCAACAACGGCTATTCTCCTTGGCAAGTGCCGCAGGAATAAGGCAGAGCCGAGTGGAGCGTGAGAAAAGGAATCAAATTGGGATTCTTGGATGTTGAACGGGCATAATTCTACGCAGGTTACCCGAAGATCGTGCACCTTGCGGGTGTCGAGGATTATTGAAGTAAACGAGTGGTACCCGGGACGCCGCGAACATCTGGGAATTTGGTTACATGGTTTTGCACGTGACACTTGTTTTGGCAGGTGTATAATCAACGACATGTGGCCGACCCGGACGTGGATCAAACCTTTCAAGTCAGCCCCGATTTTCAACCAGAGTGTGGAATGGAGCCAGGATGGGTTATGCTATGAGGCGAATCGAACGCATTTTGAGGTATGTGTCAGAGAATTCGTCGTCGAGCCGTACAGCGTGATATGTGATACACCAGGTGAAAACAGTTATGCGAAGAAAAAGAGCATGAGGAACCCTCGCCACGTCATGCAATTAACGAATGCCAGATTTTGGTGGCCAGAGCGAACTCTCTAGCACAATGCCGCTCTTAGATGCAATTCTCAGTCAAGGATCTTGCGCGCTCGATGCCAGCCCCATCCCGAGAGGCATGGTGACGCCTTACACAGCAGGGCAACTACTGCAAGAACCGCGGCAGGTGTGGTATCAGTTGTTGTACCGATCGCGCCCGAAGGAGTTAAGCGTATGGACTGACACCGACTACGCCAGCCGCAAGAAAACGCGCAACGGAACAAGAGGAGGAACAGCAATGTGAGATTTGCATTTGATGCAGTCGTGGGGGTCGACTCAGAGTGTAGTGGCGTTATTTTGTTGAGCATCAGAGCATTGCGGAGGTGAAAGGCGGCTCAGTAGCGCTAGGAGTACAAACAGCTTTCAGCCGTTTTAGGTTGACTATTGCATGTGGTTAAGGGGCGATGCCAGCGTAGCCACTGCCATTGTTAGCAGGCGAGGGCTGGGAACAAATGTTAACCACATTGGGGTTTATTTTTTTTGTTGCGAGAAAGCGTGCGACGAAGATATAGCAAAGTTGCCAGCGTAGGCGTTCATGAGAACCTTGCATATGCTTTGACGACATATGTGAGCAAGTAGAACATGCCCATATACATGCGGGGGGTACCGCTCAACATCTGGCTAACATCAGACACGAGCTGACGCCCGCTGCGGTGTTTTAACTTAGTTCATGCCCAGATTATCGTGGCGTGCCGCCTTGCTGGAGTCTTGAGTTTAGGATCAGTTGGGATCCAGGTGCTCGTCTACGTGATTTAAGACCGTCACCACAGAATATACTAAACATTATGCGTGATTTGGTGCTTTGCGGCATTTCGCAATAGTGTATCGCGTGTTCGGAACCCCCCTGCACGTTTACGCCCAAATCTTAGTCGCCTTCTAATTGCACCAGTTATAGTTTAATGTTGTTTTATTTGCACACTTTCACGTGCTAGCCTGGAGTCCTGCCTTGCGCCTACGCAAGCGAGATTGCAGCAAGGCGTCTTATAGTTTCTGTGATCCTGTCGCCCTCGCTTTTTATATTTCACCCGCCCCCACAGTCGGTTTATCAGCCGGAGAGGGGGGGTGTTCGATTATGGCGTTCCGATTGCGTGAGCAAGCCTCGTATCATTGAAACATCTGCAGTGTAGCAGTGCTGTGGCGTTATAACATTTGCTGGTCCGTAAGCGCTGCGATTGACTTGCCGGACGCCCTCGGGCGCTTGGCTCAAATATTGCTAGCTTTTCGGGGGAAAAAGGCTCCCAGATTTATTTCAGTACGGAGGCTCTCCCCTCATCGTTCCCTCCCCCTGGCGACACACTGCGAGCAGACGTTTTTTTTGAATCGGGCCGCGCTGGCTTTCGGAAAAGGAGGGCAGCGGCCTGCCGCAGCCCGCCGCGCCCTGGCGGCGGCGTCGGCGGCCTCCGTCGACGGCGGCTGGCGGCGGCGGTGGTTGCGGCCACGGCAGCGATGGAGACGAGGACGACGGCGGCGACGGCGGCGGCGCGGCTTCCGCGACGAGGACGGTTGCGACGAGCACGGCCGCCGCGGCCGCGGGCCCCCTCCGGTCAGGCGCCGCGGCGGCCGCGGGGGCGCGCGCTTCGCGGCGGCGTCGGGCGGCTTCCGCTGGCGCGCTGGAGCGGGCCGCCTGGTGCGCCAGCGGGCGGGCACTTGGCGGCGCTCTCGCTTGTCCGCGCGGGGCGTGTGCATCAGAGGGTCGGTATCGTTGAACCGATCCGTGTCCCCCATGCCCGTCCCCATCCCGATCCCCACCATCCCGCCAGACCCCGTTGGGGCTACGCCCCTCGAAAATCTAAGGGACTGAGGGGGTTGATCGGCAAGTGGAGGTCCAGGCCACGCCAGTGGGGATAGGGATCGGTTAAACGAGGCTCAGAGGATTATATGTATACACGCACATATATATAGATATAGATCGAGAGAGGGAGGCAGAGAAAGAGAGAGAGAGAGGGAGAGAGAGAGAGAGAGAGAGAGAGAAATTGAGAGGGACGGAGGGGGGGAGAGAGGGAGCTGAGAGAGAGAGAGAGAGAGAGAGGGGGAGGGAGAGAGAGAAAGAGAGAGGGAGAGGGAGAGAGAGAGAGAGAGAGATGCCGATGCTGCTGCTCGTCCTGGAGAGCCCTCGTCGCCACGGCTGGATTCTCCACATACACTCCAGGAGAGGTCTGGGGAGCAGCAGTAGCGGTGTCTTTTTGTCCTCCCCGTGCTGGGCGGAGGGGAAGATGATTTCCCTCCTCCCAATCCCTGTCATCCCCCCCCGCCAACGCCTCCTGCTGCTGCTGCTGCTGCTCCTCCTCCTCCTCCTCCTGGGCGGCGCGGGAGGGGGATTCGGGGGTCACGTAGTGTGAGGGTGTCGGGTTTGAGATCAGTGTGTGTGTGTGTGTGTGTGTGTGTGTGTGTGTGTGTGTGTGTGTGTGTGTGGGGCATTAGTGTTTTGGATTCGGGTTGGGGTGTACGAAGGGTTAGTGTGGTAGGGATAGGGATAGGCTTAATGTTTCGGATCAGGGGGTCAGGTTGATGTGTTAAGGATTTGGAGCCGGTTAGGATTCGTGATTGTGGTTATGTTCTTCGGCTTCTTATGGGGGCTAGGGTTAGGGGTTAGAAGTTAGGGCGTTGGGATTCGGTTTATCGTTTAGGGTTAGGATGTTCAGCTTGTGTTGTTAGGTTTTTTGGGGGTATTAGTACTTCGGGTGAGGATCAGGGTTTCGGTGGGCATGTGCGGTTAGTGTCATGGCTCAAGACGAGGTCGTGGTAAGGGTCAGCGAATCAGGGTTAGGCTCTGTGCTTAGAGCGAAGGTGTTAGTGCTAGTTGGTTGAGGTATAGGCTGTTGGGGTTTAGGGTCAGGGTTCATGTTCAGTGGAAAGGTTGAGGTGCTAGGGCTAGGCTTTGGGTTCGATGTTAGGGTCAGGGTGTTGGGAACTGCTAGGATGTTTGGATTCTTGTTCATTGTTTCGGGTGTGCGATGGCTCAGGATTAGGGCATTATTGTTTGCGTTTGGTTGATCAGGTCCAAGGTCAAGCTTAGTGCTAAATGTTAGGCTCCTAGGATTAGCGTGTTAGGGTTGGGGGGGTAGTGTCTAGGACTCGGATTCGTCCTTCTGGTGAGGATAATGATGTTAGGGTTACGTCCTAGGGTTAAGGTTCTAGTGCGATGCTTACTATGTACATGTGTGTGATTAGGGTTTGGGTCATTGTTTTGAGGTCATGGTTGGGTTGAAGGGTTCGGCTCAGGGTGTGAGGGTCGGAGGTTGGAGGGGGTGAGATCGCAGTGGAACGGAGGGCCCCCACCGGGAAATCGGTTTCGGTTTTGTCTTCGTGTCGTGCGTGCGGGCGAGGCGAAGCTGCGTGGGCGCGCGAGACCAACGATCCCGCCGTCGACAGAGCGATTCGGCTGCAGAAGTCCAGCCCTCCAGTGGGCGCGCGGTGGCTGGGTGTGCCCCGCCGATGGTGTCCCGCGCTGTCCCGATGGTGTCCCGCGGTGTCCAGCCGTGGTGTCCCGTGGTGTTCCGTGATGCCCCGCGGTGTCGTGGTGTCTCGCGGTGTGCCGTGGTGTCCAGTGGTGTCCCGCGGTGTCCCGAGGTGTCCCGCCGTGGTGTCCCGATGGTGTCCCGATCGATAGTGGGATCGATAGTGAGATCGATCACGACCGAGCTGTGGTGAGATAGGTAATGAGATCGATAGTTGGATCGATAGCGAGGTCGATCGTGGAATCGGTAGTTGCATCGATCGTGCGAGTGGCACTGAGATCGATAGTGATATTGATAGTTGCATCGATAGTTGAATCGGTAATGAGAGCGATAGTTGCATCGACAGTTGGTTCTCTCCCCCCCCGAACCTCCCGAAGGGCGGTCGTATAGTTTCAGGGGGTCGGGTTTGGGCATTGTGCTTAGGGTAATCATTTCGGTCAGGGTTTTGGCCCAGGGACGGGTTACAGGATTTGGTGTTGGACCTCAGGTATCAGGGTCAGGCCTTCGGGGTCGTGGCGGGAAGAGGGTGTTCAGCTCCCCGCCCGAGAGGCGTGGCCCGAACGGGGGGGTGCTCGCCTGCGGGGTGGGGGGGGAGGGGGCGGACGTCCACCCTGGAAAGGGGGAGGGAGCGAGGTGGGGGGGGTCCACTGGCAAGCCCCCCCCCCCGCCCCCCCGGAAAGAGAGGGAGGGGTCGGGGGTGGACAGACCTCCTGCCCTGACACGTCGATGAAGGAAGTTGGCCGTTTTCGGTTCGCGAGAGGGCGCCGCGGCCGTCACTTTTGCGGGTCCAGTCAGGAGGGGAAAAAAACACAGACACAATTAATCGCCGATCCCAGGAAAATATGGGAAATATGACAATTGGGCGGCAAGACAAAAACCCGGAAAATATGGGAAACTATGGGGAATCATTTTATCAGTGTGTATTTATTTGTGTGTCTTGGGGCCCCTTGATCCAGGTCCGTCGATCTCGGTCCCAGGCCGTTTTCGCTGAGGGGAGGTCTACTAGAGGGAGGTGTGTCCACCGCCGAAGGGGGGGGGGGTCGGGACGCTGGGTCGGGACAGGGGACGGGGGGAGGGGGGGTTTGTCCTGGACGGCGTGCTGGGGAGAGGGGGACGGCTACTACTACTACTACTACTACTACTACTACTACTACTACTACTACTACTACTACTACTACTACTACTAGTGCTACTAGTGCTACTAGTACTACTACTACTACTACTACTATTACTACTACTACTACTACTACTACTGCTACTGCTACTGCTACTGCTACTGCTACTGCTACTGCTACTGCTACTGCTACTGCTACTACTACTACTACTGCTACTACTACTACTACTACTATTATTAACTATTACCACTATTGATGATGCTGATGATGCTGATGATGCTGATGATGATGATGATTAACTATTATTAATCATGATGATGATGCTGATGCTGATGATGATGATGCTGATGACGGTGGTGATCCTGACGAGGATGTTGATGATGCTGCTGCTGATGAGGATGCTAATGCTGATAGTGATGCGGGTCATGATGATGCTGCTTGTGATGACACGGGCGGCGGTGATGCTGCTGATCATGATGGTGATGATGATGATGATGATGATGATGATGCTGCTGATGATGATGATGATGATGGTGATGATGATGATGATGTTGTTGTTGCTGATGATGGTATTCGTTTTGGCGATGATGACGATGGTGACTAAGGGCACGACGCTGACACTTACTTTTGCACTGGTGACTATGAGGTTAATGGCGACGGCGACGACGATGACGCTGACTATCATAAGGTGGTTGACGAGTATGTCGACGATCGTGACGATGATGTTTACAGTGAGGCTTAGCATGTCCATGCGCATTTGGTGGCGATCATTATGATGCTGATGTTGATGGTGTTGATGCTGATTCTGCTGATGATACTGATGATGTCGATGACGATGCTGCTAATGACGATGCTGATGTTGATGATGAGGATGTCGATCATGCTGCTGATGATGATGGCGATGATGAGGCTGATGATGCTGATGACGCTCATGAGATGATGCTGATGCTGATGATGATGCTGACGTCGATGCTGATGCTGATGCTGATCAGGCTGATGATGCTATTCGTGATGGTGCTGCTGCTACTGATGCGGCTGGTGCTACTATGATATCCATTATGCTGGTTATGTTGAGGATGCCCATGATGGGCGTGATGACGCGGGGATGGCGGCGAACATCGCCAAGATGCTGATTTCGTAAAGATGATGAGGAGCGCGAGTGTGATTTGCATACGGATTGATGACGATGGCGATGATTGTGAGGATGACAATGACAACGACAACGGTGATGATGAATCTGATTAGTATGATGAGGATGAGGATAAGGATGAAGACGAGGATGAGGCTGAGGCTGAGGATGCTGATGATGATGCTGATGACGACGATGATGATGATGATGACTATGATGCTGATGATGGTAATGATGATGCTGATTGTGATGCTGATGATGGTGATGATGATGATGTTACTGATGCTGATTGTGATGCTGATTGCGACGATGATGACGATGCTGATGTTGGTGATGATGATGCTGATGATGGTGATGATGGTGAGGATGATGAGGATGATGCTGATGACGATGATGATGCTGATGATGATGATGCTGATGATGCTGATTATGATGCTGATGATGATGATGCTGATGCTGTTTCTGATGCTTCTGAGGATAATGTCGATGATGATGATGATGATGATGGTGAGGATTACGATGATGATGATGATGCTGATGATGATGCTGCTGATGATGATGATGCTGATTATGATGATGATGATGCTGATGCTGATGCTGATGATGATGATGATGATGATGCTGCTGCTGCTGATGATGATGATGATGATGATGCGGATGATGATGATGATGATGATGATGAGGATGATGATGATGCTGCTGCTGATGATGATGATGATGATGATGCGGATGATGATGATGATGATGATGATGATGATGATGATGATGATGATGATGATGCTGATGATGATGATGATGATGATGATGGTGGCGATGATGATGATGATGATGATGATTGATGATGATGATGCTGATGATGATGATGATGATGATGATGATGATGATGATGATGATGATGATGATGATGATGATGAGATGATGATGATGATGATGATGATGATGATGATGATGATGATGATGATGATGATGATGATGATGATGATGATGATGTGATGATGATGATGATGATGATGATGATGATGGATGATGATGCGATGATGATGATGATGATGATGATGATGATGATGATGATGATGATGATGATGATGATGATGATGATGATGATGATGATGATGATGATGATGATGTTGACGGTGGTTGCGATGGCTTTGGGTAGGAAGGAGATGGAGGGATGGTGGGAGGAGGCTGGAGAGAAGAGGGAGGAAGGAAGTGGGAGCAAGGGAGGAGGGAGGACGAACTGGCAAGAGGGCGGGCGAGAAGGCGAGAGTGATGCAACGAGGGGGGGGAGGCTTCGCTTCTCCTTTGTCCGCCCCAGCCCTCCCCATCCTCTCCTCTCTTTCGCTCGCCGCTTCCCCCCTTCCTGACCTACTTCTCCCCCCTCCTGCCCATTTCACCTCCCCCCCCCTCCCGCTCCCCTCCTCCCCCCCTTCCCGCCCTCTGCCCCTCCTTCGTCCTCCCCGCCCTCCTTCCTCCTCCCCCTCCCCTTCCCCCGTCCTTCTCCCCTCCTCCCCCCCCCCCCCGCCCTCCGCTGGCCATCTCCCTCGCGTCCCGCCGAGGCGCCCTCGGCGGCGTCCGAGCTTGGCTTGGCGGCCCGCCGAAGCCAGGCGTGGTTGCGCACCGCCGCCGCCGGCGGCTCGAATCTAGAAGTCATCCGACACGCTTTGCCGTACAGGCAGACAGAGGCATAAGATCGAGGTCGGTTTGGGGAGGGTGCCTCATGTCCCTCGTGCTTGTTGGATGCTCTTGCGCATTCTGGGGATTGATACCCTTGGATGTTCTGTTTGTTCTGGCCGGCGGAGGGTCTCATGTTCTCGAGGAGTGTTCTTCTGGCCTGGGTCCGACTGTACCGGCCGACCGTGAGCTCCACAGCGCCGCCAGTAGAGCAGATGCTCGTCGTCATCGTCGTCGTCGTCGCCGTCCTCCTCCTCCTCCTCCTCCTCCTCCTCCTCCTCCTCCTCCTCCTGACTTGTCTATCGTGATTTCGCACCCTTTTCTGTTGGGTGGGGGAGGCTCCTCCGTAGGCCACATTGCCGTTGAAGTGCTGGGCCCTCTCTCTCTCTCTCTGTCGATCTCTCTGGTCTCCCTCTGTCAGTCTGTGTTGTCTCTCTTTCGTTGGGTTCTCGTTCTAAACAGAGCGCTGTTGTCGAGTTTTCCTCCCCCGTCGTGTTCTCTCCTGCCTCCTATCTCTTCTCTCCTGCCCTCTGCCCCTGTCGTGGGCTCATGAGAAAGGGGGGGCCTCGCGGCTCCCTGGGGGGTTGCGATGCGCGAGACGGTCGCCATTTCCGTGGCTTCTTCCCCCGTCCGGGTCAAGACGCTTTCCGCGACCGCGCGCTGTCGCGCTTATTCCCACTTGCCCGCCCAACACATGCGTAGTACCCCGGCCCCCGCGTGTCCAGCGGTCGTCTATGGATGGGCAGCTATTGGAAAACAGTGCAATGTCTGCGACGCCAGGGCGGCTTCCGCCACGCGAGCCAGGCGCGCCAGGTGCGCCAGGTGCGCCAGGCATCCCTGGAGCTTAAGCGTGCCAGGTACGCCTGGCGCGCCAGATACGCTACGTGATCCACGTGCGCCATTTGTACTTCATGGCCCAGCCGCGCCAGGTACGCCACGTTCGGGGCACGCGCAAAGTGTGCCTGGTGCGCCCGCGCACCTAATAACACACATCGGGAAATTTGTTGCCCCCCAAGCATCCTTGTCGAAAGACGCGGCGCACTCCTGGCGCGAAGGTCATCATGGTGTCAGCTGGGCCTGTGTACAGCAAGCAGTATGCCAACACCCCCTGCCATCTTCGTCAACAGCAAGTGGGCAGTGATTGCGGGGTGGCGGCGTGCGATCCAGATTTTACCGCGAATTGTATTTTTGGGTGCCGTTATTTTGTGGGGGTGGCGGCCTTGCGCGCAGCAGGCAATAACCGCCGCTGTTTTTGACAAACACATGCAATCATCCCGCGGTGCCCACGCATGTGATCCAATATTTTGTCCAATCGCGCAGTTCGTGTTTTGTTGACCAGGGGGTGCTCTTGGTCGTGGTTGGCCGCCGCTCGCTCGGGGGAGCGGGTGTTCACTCATAGGGAACATTGATGAGCCCTTCCCCGAAACGGGGAACAAAGGGGAGTGGAAGATACCACTCACGCCCTACAGGGTTGGTGGAATTTATATGTATTGACCTTTTGGCCGTCGCCGGGCTAAACGGTTCGGACGGCTATGGCGCGCGGGGCGCGAGCGTCTGTGAGTTTCGGAGTCAGAGCCATTTGGGGCCTGTCAGGAGGCCAATTGGGGCCATTTGGGGGTCGCCTGGGAGCTTTTTTTGGGGCCAATTGGGACCCTCTGGGGGCCTCGTGGGGGCCTGTTGGCGGTCCTGGCGGCTTCTTTGGGATGGAGAGTTCGAAATCTCAATTCGAGTTCCCCTCTTGGACCCCCCTTGGCGGCCTCTGAGGGTCCTCTTGGGCAGTCTGGGGCGCTTCTTGGGCCGTCTTGGGGCCCTCTTGGAGCGCCTCGGGGCCCTCTTGGGGTGATCAGGCCTCTTGGGCCGTCTTGGACGCCATGAAGGCCGAACCGTTGCAGACGCGAAAGGTTTATGTTTCCCAATGGAACGCGGTTATGTTTGTTTACTGGAGCTCTGCTGGGAGGGTTCTTGGAGGTCTCTTTGGGCGTCTTGGAGGCCTCCAGGGGCCGTCTGGAGGCCACCTGGAGCGTCTTGGACCGATCGCTCGGGGACCCGAGGCCCTCTCGGACCATCTTATAGAAAAAGGGCCTCCTGGATCTCTCTTGGCCCGCTTCTCCGCGGCGAGCGGGGGAGGCCCGTGCGGAGGACGGGGCCTTCTTAAAGAGGGCGGCGGGGCTCATCGGAAGCTCCCCCCGCGCCTTCCGAGAAGTTTTTTGGTCCGCGGGGGAGGCTCAGAGCATGTCTCAGAAGGAAGGAGGGGGAGGAAGGAGAGGGGGAGTGAGGGGGAGGAGGAGGGGGAGGAGGAGGAGGAGGAGGAGGAGGAGGAGGAGGAGGGAAACGGAGGAGGGGAGGAGGAGGAGGAGGAGGAGGAGGATGAGGAGCGAGGAGGAGGAGGAGGAGGGGGAGGAGGGGGAGGAGAAGGGAGGAGGAGGAGGAGGAGGAGAGAGGAGGAGGAGGAGGAGGAGGAGGAGGAGGAGGAGGAGGAGGACGGAGGAGGAGGAGGAGGAGGAGGAGGAGGAGGAGGAGGAGGAGGAGGAGGAGGAGGAGGAGGAGGAGGAGGAGGAGGAGGAGGAGGAGGAGGAGGAGGGGAGGCGGAGAGAGGAGGAGAGGAGGAGGAGGAGGAGGAGGAGGAGGAGGAGGAGGATGAGGAAGGAGTAGGAGGAAGGAGGGGGAGGAGGGGGTAGGAGGGGGAGGAGGGGGAGGAGGAGGATATGAGGAGGAGGAGGACGGGAGGAGGAGGAGGAGGAGGAGGAGGAAGGATGGAGGAGGCCTTCTCCTTTGCTCTGCCCCCCCCGCGGTTGCCGACGGGTCCAGGGGCCTCCTCTTGGGGCGCGCCCGGGGCCGTCCGGTGGCGCTCTGGGGGCGACCGCGTCTCCCCCCCCCCCGCAGGGCCGGACGTCAAGGCGGGTCAGCTCTCTATGTGTATAGGAGATGGTCTAAGGTCTAAGGTCTCCTCCTCCTCCTCCTCCACCTCTTTCTCCTCCTCCTCCACCTCCTTCTCCTCCTCCTCCTCCTCCTCCAGCTCCAGCTCCTCCTCCTCCTCCCTCTCGTCCTCCTCCTCCACCTCTTCCTCCTCCTCCTCCACCTCCTCCTCCTCCTCCTCCTCCAGCTCCAGCTCCAGCTCCTCCTCCTCCTCCTCTTCCTCCTCCTTCTTCGCTGCATTTGTAATACTATTGCGTTTTGGTGCATATGCCTCTCAGGTATTCATCTGTGGCAGTAGACATGTATCTCTTAGAGAGACACAGGGAGGACGAGATGGAACGAGAGAACGATAGCGAGAGAGCGAGAGAGAAAGAGAGAGAGAGAGACAGACTTTTGATGCTTTTCTTGTTGCTGCTGCTGTTGTTGTTGTTGCTGTTGTTGTTGATGATGATGTTGTTGTTGTTGTTGTTGTTGTTGTTGTTGTTGTTGTTGTTGTTGTTGTTGTTTTCTCCCTCTCTCTCTCTCCCTCCCTCCCTTCCTCCATCTCTCTCTCACTCTTTCTATATTTTTGTTTTTTCTTCATATGTTTCTGGTTGACCGACCAGTCATGTTTCTCTCTCTCTCTCTCTCTTATCTGCCGCGCGGAGAAGGAAAACGAGTTTCCCCAGGTGGAAGAGGACGACGCGGAAAAGGGAGCGCGCACCAGCCGCAGGACCGCGTGGGGACCACATCCCGGGCGCCCCGCTGCGGCTGGGCAGGGGTGCTGAGCGGGTGGTGGGCAGAGGGAACCAGAGGGCAAGGGCCACCGGGTGTGGAGGTGAGTCGGGCATGCCCATGTTACAGGAGGAAAATTCAAAACGTAGTCATACATTAGTCCAGGGGCGATTGTTTTTTGATCGCTGTTTTTATGTTCCTCTCCTATGTTCATATTTCTTCCACGATCCGCCTGTGGGAGGACCTGCCCGACCTAAATGTAGGACCACGGGGGGGGGGCACCCATCGCGCGGGGGGGCCGAAGACATCAGCATAAGTCTAGGCCTCCTAGATGGGGTCGGAGTAGACGGGGTCGGAGGATCACGCCGCATTGCCAATGCATCACCGATGCGGCTTGATGTGGGGCCCGATTTGCTTCATGTCGACGTCGCCGATGCATCGCCGACGTCGACGATGCATCACCGATCCTTCATGGATCAGGAGGGGAAAACCACACAGACACAATGAATCCTCGACTCCCAGGAAGATGTTGGAAGTGCGGGGGAAGACGAAAACCGAGGAAAGATGGGAAAATTTGGACACTGCTGGGATTTGTGTACATTTACTTGTGTGTCCCAGGGCTCCCCTTCGTGGAAGCCTCAGAGGGTCCCCGTTTTCCTTGCGGCTCTGGAGCCTTCGTCCGGACTCGGTCGACTCTTGGACGAGACTTGGGCGAGATCTGGAGGAACGGGTGAAGAGAGTAGTGGTAAGTCGGACCCGCCCCTCTACAGGAGGAATATATTCAAAAATAGCCCCCAAAATAGTCTGGGGGCGATTTTTGGAACACTTTTGTGGACCACTTATTTTGGAGCATTTTTGGAGTATCTTTTTGTGTTTCGTCGAAAATCCCCCCTGTAGGGGGACACGCCCGACTTACGAGCAGTCGTCGGAACCTGGACGACACCTGGTCGACCTCGCGCTCGTGACGGAGCCGCGGAGGTCCACAGACAGGCCTTCGCGAAGGCTCGCCCAGCCTCCTCCGGGCCCTCGGCCGCCGCCCCGGCGCCGCCCCCCGTTGGTTCGGGTCGGGAGCCTTAGGACGGGGGTCAATGCAAACGGGGGTCAGCCAGGGCCCCTCCTGCTCCTCCTCCTCCTCCTCCTCCTCCTCCTCCTACCCTTCCTCCCCCTCCTCCTCCTCCTCCTCCTCCTTCCCCTCGGGGCTCAAGAGACGGGGGTCAATGCAAACGGGGGTCAGCCAGGGCACCAGATCCTGCAGGATCCTGCGAAGACCCCCTTTGGCTGACCCGGGTTAGCGAGCCGCTCGTGGCCGCGAGGCGGCCGCGCCGATTACCGGACCCAGGTTTGCGAAGACCTGCGTTGCAGTTTTTTTGTTTCCCTGCATTGCAGGTTTTGGTTTCCTGCTGACCTGGGTCTGGATTGACCCGGGTCAGGAGATCCCCGATCGGGTCGGGCGGCGCCTGGGCAATGTTTGGGGGGGGGATGGGCCCACGGTTAAGTCGGGCCTGTCCCTCTACAGGTGGAAAGTCCAAAGGTGGTGAAAGCATAGTCCGGGGATGATTCTTCGACTATTTTTCGACGAATTTTGAAAACTTTTGGAACCTGTTTGGCTTGTCGTTCAAGTTTCCCCTGTAGGAGGACATGCCCGAGCTTGGACGTTTCGGGCTCGAGCTTCTGGGGCGCGAGTTTTGGGTGCGACGTCTTCGGGCGTCTGCGTCGGTTCTCGGCGGCGCTCTCCAGCCTCGGGATGCTCTCCAGCAGCCGCGCCTCGCCGAGAGCGGCCCGGAGGGTGCCCGGATCGTCGCGAACGGCCGCCAGAGGCCCGAGTGATGTCGAAACTGGAACGTATACATTACCAGTGGCGGGCTGCTTTTCCATCGAAGGACTTTTCGAGGGTAGGGGACGGCGTCGGGGTGGTGTGGTGTATACTTTTCCTTTCCGTTTCCCGAGGAAACGGCGAAAGATGTATACACCAGGATCCCGGATACACCAGGATCCGCTTTCCTGTGCAAATTTCAGTGCAGGGCCAGAAGAAGCGGCGGTGTATAGAGTTCGCCCGAAAGTTTGGCCAGCAGGGGCCCGAGTTATGGCCCGAAAGCTGGGCCCGCAAGGGCTGGGGGGGGGGGTAGCCTCGGGGGGGATGTGTCGATCGCCAATCGCATATTGATCGCGCCGATGGGGGCCTGATAGCCCCTCCCGCCCAGGAACGTCTGGATTCGCTATCGGGGGCTCCTTCGGTTATCTATGCCGATTCCAGCTCGACAGTTCCTCCCCTGAGCAGCCCCCCCCAGAAGTTCCCTTCAGGGCGGTAGGGGTCCGAGGAAGAAATCTGTTTGGAGCTAGACATACGATTGTGATGATGATGCTGCTGCTGCTGATGACGATGATGACGATGAGGAAGACGAGGAAGATGATGATGCTGATGATGAATGATGATGATGACGACGATGATGATGGATCTGATGATGATGATGAGGATGATGACGATGATGATGGTCATGCTGATGATGATGACGGTGATGATGGTCATGCTGATGATGCTGATGATGATGACGATTATGATGATGAGGAGGACAATGATTATGATGATGATGATGATGCTGCTGCTGATGATGATGATGATGATGATGGCTGTGAGGATTACGGGGATTATGCTTATGATTATGATGATGCTTAGCATGATTATGGGGGTGATGATGATGCTGATGATGCTGCTGATGATGATGCTGTTGATAATGATGATGCTGCTGCTGATGATGATGATGGCGATGATGATGACGATGATGATGACGATGATGATGATGATTATGATGATGATGACGACGATAACGATGACGACGATGATGATGATGATGATGATTATGTTGATGATGATGATGCTGATGATGCTGATGATGATGATGACCATGATGATGATGATGATGATGATGATGATGATGATGATGATGATGATGATGATGATGATGATGATGATGAGGATGGTGATGATGGTGATGATGTTGATGATGATGATGATGATGATGCTGCTGTGGCTGATGCTGATGGTGATGATGCTGATGCTGATGATGTTGATGATGATGGATGATGTGATGCTGATGATGATGCTGATGATGAGGCTGATGCTGCTGATGATGATGATGATGATGATGAAGATGATGATGATGAGGATGAGGATGAGGATGAGGATGAGCGATGAGGAGAGGATGATGATGATGATGCTGATGATGATGATGATGATGATGATGATGATGATGATGATGATGATGATGATGATGATGATGATGATGATGATGATGATGATGATGATGATTGATAGTGATGGTGGTGATGGTGAGGATGAAGATTGATGGTTGCGTGTGTGTCGACGGACAATCAGCGTCTACGTGGGCACAGGCGGGGAGCCGACCACGCTGGTGTGCAGCACCAGCACGGACCTCGTAGTGCACTGCGGCGAGTGTTGCTGCACCCCGCCGTGTGCCGCAGCACCTGCGAGTGAGACAGAAGCTAGGAACCGCCGCGCGGGAACCGCCGCCGTAGGAACCGCCCCTGGGTGCGCAGGAGCCGCCTGCATGGGAGCCGCCGCGCGTCGGAACCGCCTGCGTGGGAACCGCCGCCGTGGGAGTCGGCTCCGCGGGAGCTCTTTGGGAACCGCCGGCGTGGGAGGCGCCGCCGTGGGGGCCACCTCCGAAGGAACCGCCGCCGTGGGAACCGCCTTTGTGGAAGCAGCCGCCGTGGGAACCGCCCCGGGGACCGCCGCCTTGGGAGCCGCCTTTGTGGGAACTGCTGCCGTGGGGGCCTCCGCGTGACAGCCGTCGCCTTAGGAACAGTAGCCGTGGGGCCCGCCTCCGTGGGAACCGCCGCCGTGGGAGGTGCCGCTGCGGGAGTCGTGTCCGTGTGGAATCCGCCACTGCGGAAACCGCAGCCGTGGGAATTGCCGCCACGGTTGCCGCGGTGGTAACAAGGGGGGCCCGCCTCGAGAAGTCGCCGTGGTGGGGGCCGCTGTAGGAACCGTGGGAACCGCCACCATGTGAACCCCGCCGTGGGAGCCGCCGCTGTGGGAACCGCCTGAATGGGAACCGTCGCCGTCGGAACCGCCTTCGTGGGAGCCGTCGCCGTGGGAACCGCATCCGAGGGGCCCGCCGCCGTGGAAACCGCTTCCATGGACACCGCCGCCGTGGGAACCGCCGTGGGGCCCACCTCCTTGGTAGCCGCTTCCGTGGGAGCCGCCGCTTTGGGAACCGCTGTCGGCGGCACCGCCGTGACCCGCCGTCGTGGGAGCCGCCGCCGTGGGACCGCTTCCGTGTGAACCGCCGCTTGAAGTGGGCCGCCCAGTGCCGCAAGTAGGAGCCGCCACGAATGGGCCGAAGTTGAGCACCACATACAATCCGAAGGGTAAGGGGGCGTTGTGGCACCAGATGGATAGGCCGAGGCCATATGCTGCCTGGCGCCGATGCCGCCAGCGTACGAGGGACACCTGGAGCTCGATGGGGGATATGTAGGCGGACGTGAACGTGAGCGTGAACTGCTGCACCACCGTTGCCAGAAAACCAGGTCAAGTGCAGGACGATGATGATTGATGGTCGCGTGGGTCTCGAAGGACAATCAATGTCTACGCGGGCAGAGGCGGGGACCCCACCACGCTGGTGTGCAGCGCCAGCATGGACCTCGCAGTGCACTGCGGCGAGTGTTGCTGCACGCCGCCGCGTGCCGCAGCACTTGCGAGTGAGACATAAAGCGACCTGTCCCAGGCACTACACGCCCAGATGAGCTGAAGCGATGGTGATGCTGCTGATGATTGTGATGCTGGCGATGGTGACTGTGATGGTCTTGTGGTCAGGATGACGATGCTGATGGTGATGATAATGGTGATGCGGCTGATGCTGCTGATTGTATGTTGATGACAGTGGTCGTGGTGATGCTAATGTTGCTGCTGGTGGTGACGTGGATGCTGCTGTTGGTGAGGATGCACTTGCGGATGCTGTATACGTGGCCCATGCTGATGATGCTGATCATGAGGGTGATGTTGTGGATGACGATGCTGGCGCAATGGTGCGGCGTTGGTGGTGGTGGTGGTCGTGATGATGGTTGCCGTGAAAATTGGTGACGAACCTGTAGCTGTTTCAGTTGATGAGAGCGACCATGCATACCGTACTGTTATTGATAACGCGGGTGGTTATGACTGAGGTAGAAGTGATGGTGGTGGAGGTGGTGATGCTGGTGGTGGTGTTGTCGATGATGGCAGTGGTGGTTGGGATGGTGGTAGTGGTGTTGTTGTTGTTGTTGTCGGTAATGGTGATGATGCTGATGGTGGCGGCGGTGCTGCTAATACTGGTGATGATTCGGGTGCCGGTCTGATAACGATGGTTATGGTGATGATGATGCTGCTGATGATGTTGGGTTCCATGGGGATAATGCTGGTACTGCTGAAGTTGATGACGATCACACTGGCACGGACCATGATCATGATGATGGTGATGCTGGCGATGTTGCTGGTGATGGTGATGATGCTTATGGTGCCGATGTTGATGGTGATGCTGTTGGTGATGTGGCTTATGCTGATAACGATGATCATGCGGATGATGCTGCTGCCGATGACGGTGGTCGTGTTGATGATGCCCACGGGGATGTTTGGGAAGGTTACGACTATGCTTCGTTTGCTTCTAACCATGGGTAGGGGGACTCAGGTGAGGAGGAGCAGGACAATGATGAACCTAATGATGACGAGGGTGGTGACACATCATGTGAAGGTGGTGGTAGTGCTGATGACGGCGATCGATATGATGATGACGGTAACAATGACGTCGATGACGACGATTTCTATGACAACGATGACGGCATCGACAAGGACGATGGCTATGATCGTGAGGGCGATGGGTGTCATAACTATGGTGATGGTGGTGATGAAAGTAAATGATTCGGCTGAGGGCGAGGATGATGATGATGTTGCTGCTGCTGCTGCTCAGGAGGAGGAGGAGGAGGAGAAGGAGGAGGAGGAGGAGGGGAGGGAGGAGGAGGAAGACGAGGAGGAGGAGGAGACGAGAGGACGCGTGACGACGAGGAGGAGGAGGAGGAGAGGGGGAGGTAGGATGATGAGGAGGAGAGGAGGCGGAGGAGGAGGAGGAGGAGGAGGAGGAGGAGGAGGAGGAGGAGGAGGAGGAGGAGCAGGAGGAGGAGGACGAGGAGGACGAGGAGGAGGAGGACAACTACTACAGATAATACAAGTAAGGGAATGAGTAGTAAGAGTATTCAGAAGAAGAACGCAATGATTCGGAATAGCACGAATCATAATCATAATCTGTATCAAGCGAATAATGTTAACAATACGGCCAGCAATAGTAATAAGGATTCTGAGCATACTACGGACAGTAATCATAATAACGAGATGAGCAGCAATAAGGAAACCACTAAGCAACTATAGTAATCATCGTATTAAGAAAGAGATACGAGTACTGAGGCAACCAACCATGAGCCTAGTACGACGAATACAAACAATACTGACAATAGTAAGAATGAAAAGGACAAATATGAATAATACTAGTAGTGGTAATAGCAATACCCAAGACCAAATATAATAATAGTAATAATAATAATAGTAATAATAATAATAAGTATAATAAGCAGAATACGAATAGTAACATGAAAAGTAAACTGATAATGCTGTTGAGTAGTAAGGATAGTTTTACGAATAACAAAATAAGGAGGAAAATTAAGAGACTCGCGTGGCGTGCCCCCGATCTTCCTTTTTCGCCCCTTCCTCCTCCCTCTTCCTTCCTCCTCCCTTCTCCTCCTTCTTGCCCTCCTCCTTCCTCCTCGTGGGCCCGGCCGGAGGACGAGGGCAGCGGCCCGAGGCCTCCAAGATCGAGGCGGCGAGGCGGCGGGAAGACGAGCGCGGAGGAGGCCTCGTGGAGCTCTGCAGCGACGGTTTCGGGCGTCTCGCGGACAAATGGTACGCTCGTCGTCGTCGTCGTCGTCGTCGTCGTCGGCGTCGTCGTCGTCGTCGGCGTCGGCGTGGGCGTCGGCGGCGGCGTCGGCGTTGGCTTCGGCGTCGTTGTTGTCGGCGTCGTTGGCGTCGTTGGTGGAGGTGTCGTCGACGGCATCGGTCCCGGCGTCGGCGTCGGCGTCGTCGGCGTCGTCGTCGGCGGCGTCGTTCCCATTCTTTCGGCGTGCGCGCGCGGGGGACTAGAGAGGAGTAAAGGGTAGCAGCAGGAGGGCGCGGGCGGAGGGGTGGTGGTGGTAAGGGGGAGGAGGAGGAACGGGGAGGAGGAGGATCCCTCCATCGCCTCCTCCTGCACCTCCTCCTCCTCTTGTTCCTCCTCCTCCTCTTCCTGATATTCCTCCCCCTCTCTCCTCCTCCCTTCTATTCCACGTCCCTCCCAACCAACTCCTCTTACTCCCTTTCCTTCCTCCTCCTCTTCCCTCCTGCTACGGCAGGTTCGCGTTGTGTCGACTGGCGGCAACCCCAGCGCGGGCGTTTAAGGTTGAACGCAGTCTGTGGCCCAGAATCCGCCCATCCTTGAACGATCCCGCCTTTTTGAAAGGGCCGATCGTTCAAGTTTGAACGATCCCCGCGGTGTCAGAAACCAGCGCCGGGGTCGACACGACGCGAACCTGCCGTCTTTCTCCTACTCCTTTTTC